TAACTCAACTCTTCAAATAGTCTTTATTCGTTTTGCAGTTTTTTGAAACAGGAGTATTTGTACATATAATTAATGACTGTACATATATACATACGTACGTTTCTAAATTTGGAATTTTCAAAGATTTGGACGATTGAAATTTCTATGGTTCTAGAAATACCAGTTAATTTTATTGGTTTTGTGCTACCTAGGAAGATTATTAGTCATCCTAGGAAGACTTGATAATATATGCACTTGAGTTTTTTTAAATAATATAAAGGTTTAAAGCTTTACTATTGCAAATAAAAGGGTCAAATTTGTGAGCTATGAAATTTTGATAAGAATCAATGGTAGCTTGAAATTTTTTACTAGCAGCGAACTTTTAAATACATATATAAAAAAAAATTCGGTAATAAATTCATATTAAAAATGATCTACATGTACTCTACCCTTAAACGAGCTTCTTAAAAATAGTGAAGAATATAATGTTATTATTGAAGTTGGTCAAGAGCCATATATTCAAGCATTTAAAGTACATTCTATCATCCTAAGTTCTCGATGTTTATATTTTAAAAATAAATTAGGCGCAATTACTTATAATAAAAATAATGTGAAAATAGTAAAACAAACTAATATTTCCATTGAAGTATTTGATATTATAATCAAGTAAGTACTAATATGAATGTATAGCTATAATGTTTAAAGTATTAATGTGTGTATATATAATATATGTAGGTATATTTATAATGGCATCATTTCTTTAGAAACAGTTAATGCTTCAGTTGTTTTTGAACTTTTGATTGCTTCAATCGAATTTGGTCTTAAAGAATTAATTAAACATATCCAGTTATTTCTACGTGAAAATAAGGCTTCCTGGCTACGTCATAACTTTTCTCGTATCTGTCAAGCTAGTTTTAAGGATGACAATTTGAAAGAGTTACAACAATTTTGTGCCAATATTATTGCTAAACATCCAAATATTTTTTTGATTCAGATGAATTTCTTACTCTTTCAGAAAATATTTTAATATTTATTTTAAAGCTTGATAATCTACAACTTTACTAAATCTATAATTTTTGAGATATGCAAATATTTGGCAATAAAAAGCATTATTTACTACTTTATAAGCTATTAAATTAATAAATTAGGAGTTTGGTTCTAGATTAGTAAAATATTTGTACTATTTTAGGCCTATTAAGTAGCAAAATTTTAGCTTTTTAAAACAAATAAATTAGGTATTAAATTTAGCAATATTATAGCATTATTATAACTAATAAATGCATTTTATTGGATATGAAATAGCAAAATTTTAGCTTTTAATTAGGTACTAAATTTTGCAATATTATAGCATTATTATAGCTAATAAATTAGATAATAAATAGCATTTACTAAGGTAATGTATAATATAAAATCTCCAAATTTATTAGCATGTTTCTTATATCTATTGTAATCGGTTAATAACTGTGTTATCAGATCAAAACTTTCACTTGGGTCAAAATGGATTGAGTATAGGCAGTGAACTCTCTATGAAGCACTCATCCGTGCACTTATAGAAATGTGCATTTTATATAGAAGTCTAACTATAATGCGTAATAAGTACTCTAAATACAATATACAGTATTATTGCACATATAGTGAAAAGTGTACATATAAAGTGTGTATATACAGAGGATTACTATACTATTTATTCTTGGTTCTTATTGCATTTTTACTAAAATGTATCTATGGTGTTTTACCACCTATTATAGATTTTTTTTTAATTTTTATAAGTTTTGTATATAAAATTTTTATTAAAAATTTTCGAATAGGACTAATATTTATGATAATGATTAAGGTTTGAGAAGAGTTTTCGGGAGCGTAGAGCATTTTTACTTAACACTTCATACCGATTAACTAGCCAATTTTTGACATAATATAATATAGGTAGTAAAATACTATAGGTATGTTTTGGTAAAAGTGCTTATTCATACATAAATATTATTTTTTTTACGTTATTGCCCTGATCTCAGATTCACCGATTCTGATTTCTTTGATAATGTTACAAAAAGAAACTTTTGAAAAAATTGAAAAAAACTGGCCAATCTCAAGCCTGGTATGGTTATTCAAGCCATTTTTATTTGGGTTGCCCAATTTCAAGTTATATGGGTGAATCATTATATGTAGTCAAAAGTTAAGATTCCTCTAACAAAATTCAGATCGACAATTTGGACGCTACCAATAAAATTCCAACTACAATAAGCTACTGAAATATTTAATTAGCTCATGTACTTTGAGTTATTGAATATAGAGAACCTTATAAATTTTGAAGGCCTATTAATAAAAACGAATTAAATGGAATAAATTGTACATTAATGCATATAAGCAGAATGCAGATCATGCTGAGAAAAAACGATCATAAGTATAAAACTAACCTCCAGTGCTATGTACGATAGAGTAAATGGAGGCATCCAGGACAACCTCTGAAAACCCAGATCACATGATTGTTTCACCAATAAGAAGGTTAAATATGACTTATTGTTCTTTAAAACAAATGAATTACACAGAACAATAAATATACATTGCTTCTATTGCATAAAACATGTAACCCGCACCATGATCAAGGTAATTAAAACTAAGACACTGTAGCTACAGTAAAAATATAAGCGGTCGAGATATTAATTGTGAGATTAAACAAAAGCTCTTAAATATGTTTTTGTTCTCATGACTCTTAAATTAATCATGAGCCCGATTCGCATTGCATATGTACGACTTACTTCTTATTATTATTAATACATAAGCCTTAAACATATCAACACATCGATATTGCCTTACTTGGGTTTACTATTCTGACGTAAATTCTACATATCCATTGTTGATTAATGGTAACATGAATTTTTATTACTATTTGAGGCTTCGAGAGTTATAGCGACAGACAAGCCATTTGTTCTTTTAAATAGATATTTCATTGTGCAATGAGAATTTGCTATGAAATTCAATTTAATTCAGTATTCGCAATTGGTTAAAAAAGACTATAGATACAACTTGGCAAAAAATCTTTGTATAGCAAGTAAATAAAAATGCAATACAGAAAATTTGATGTCATATATATAAGGGTTAATTTAAATTTTAGTAAAGTACTTAATATGTATATAAAATTCATATTAATCTGTCAATTCTGTTAATAAATTAATTGAATCGTTAAAGACAAAGAATATAATTTATTAAATACTAAAATCAATGTTGTTATGAAAAGTTCATATATTTATGATCAAATAATATTTATATGTAATTTTGATTATGTTATTATGAAAGTTTACTTCTATAAATATAAATAATTTGGCATTAGCTTTTATTTTTATTTTTTCACTTAGAAAGACTAAATACAATGCCGCCAAAAAAAAAGTCTTCTTCCCATAAGTGTTAATTACTATTTGTAGTTATCGATTCTTGCTTAAGTTCTTTTTATTTATAGAAAAACCAGTAACAAGAAAAACAAGAAATACAAAAAAGAAAGTTAATGTTACACTGGTAGAGTCAGATATTTCTGAGCATTCAGATGAGTTGCCAAAATCTAAGAAACCACGAAAGTCGAATAAAACAAAGAATAAAGGTATATTTGTAAAAATTATATAGGCGTATTAAGTAACCAATCTTTTTTCTTTATTTAATATATTTATTTGTTTTTTAAAGAAAATATTGATCTGGATTTAGAGACCAACAAGTTAGATAATTTACAATCTAAAGCTCATACCAATTGTCAACCAAATCGCCCACCTTCTGTAGAATCGCAAAACCAACATACTTATGCTGAAAATTCACAAAATCAGATTTCTCAAGTTCATAAATCACCGAATCATCGTGACAATACTGGATCTTTGCCTTTTACCGCTAATAAGTATCAATATAAAATACCTCAAATGAATGAAAGATCTACTAATCCAAGGGTTCAATCCAGCATTGATCCTTTACTTGATCAACCTAATAATTATGGCAAACGTTCTTCTAATCAAAGAATTGAACCTGGCATCAATCCTTTACTTGATCCACCTAACGGTTATGGCAAATGTTCTTCTAATCATAGAAATGAACCCAGTGTCGATCCTTTGCTTGACCAACCTAACAGTTATGGCAAACGATCTTATAATCAAAGCTATTTACATTCTGATGAAGATGAATCTTCAGAAGACGAAATCTTTTCTTCACTCGATCAAAATTACAATACAGACCCTTTTAAAAAGTCATCTCATCAAGCTTCTTCATTAAATACCAATCTATATTCAACCATTCAGTCAGGTTTGGTGGGTTCATCTACAAAAAGTGGCCTTTTTTTTCAAGATGAAACACATCTTGTACGATGGCTAGGAACACGTAAAGACATAGTATTACAGGCATTGGATTCTATTTTGTCATTGCCATCTGTTACATCAAGTCAGGTTAGTAGCAATTAAAATATTTGCACAAAGTGTGCACAACGTGCACAAGTTACAATTATATGTATAAATTTAAAAAAAATAAGTGCACTGAGCATATTGTGCACATTGATTTTATACAATACGTCGCATAGTAACCATATAATTTAAATAATAGTTGTCTTCACCTGACACATCACATTTAGCAAAAATACTTTCTGAGCAATCGCGAATTCTATTTCTTTGAACCCGAATGCCAACGAAAAGAACCCGATCGTCATTGATTAAAAGTATTGTTCCTAATATGGTCAGCACACATTCGGATTGGAATGGAATATCGAGTAAATTACGACAAGCGTTTGAAAACTTCCGTAGCACCTATAATGATGATGTTGCCAAATTGGTAAATCATTTAATTAGAAAAAAAAGGCAAGTTATTATTTCATATTTTATAACAATAATAAATATGCTTACAATTACTAAATTATTAAACTCAATCTTAGCAATCCTTCTAATCACGATATTGAAGGATTCATAGCCGGGGCAGTGTGGGAAAAACCACTTAAGAAGCATATTGATATCCTCGATTACGATGTTTTCAAAACCCAGCATTCAGGAGTAAAAGCATTAATGACCTTTGTCGCTAGAAGCCTCAAGATACACGTTGAGTATTTGATAGCAGAAGCTAAAGGAAAAAATCCAGATTACACTTCCACGGTCTTAAACCGTATTAAAGAATTAGATTGTATTACAATTGATATTGCGTTTCCGGCTGCAAGTCATTTTCAGTATGCTAATCAACTCGAACTTAAAGAAGAACGAGAAAGGTATGGAAAATTTTTTTTTAAAAGAATGTAATAGTAACAATAATAATCAATTGAATTAAATTTTATTAGATAAAGATTTGCAAGAAAAATTTTCAAGAAAATTAGTAATTAATTAGATGAATAAAAAATGCAATCGAATCTTATTTAACATATTCATCTATTTTGTGCTTATATTATAATGTTCTTTTAAATAGAATTACATTTATTATGCTAATTAATCTGATATTGTCTTCATATAATTTATTATTGCATTGATTATAACAATAATAATGTTGCTTAATTGATTTAGAGTTTGTTAAAATAATTTTGAAATTTGCCAAATGAAAATGGAATACTTTCGATCTCAATATCCTAGTCTAAGAGACTTTCGCCGTTTAATGCGTTTAAGGATTTGCAAGATCTAAGTATTCAGAAATGCTTGCTTAAAGTTCATCTAACACTTAGTACTGCCTGTTTTGTTACTGCGGCGGGAGTTTAGGCCACCGGGTATGTTACATTCAAGTCAATAGACACGGGGTCTCTTACATTCCACCAACCTTAACCCTACTATAGACCCCGGGTACAATACAGGTGGGTCCATTATTAAGGAGGGATGATTTATATTACGATTTACGGTATGCTTATACTAACAGCTTGTTCTTGTTTGGTGTATATTTATATTGATAATTTATAAGTTTTTAAGTAAAACATTAATTAATAGCGGGTTATTAACTTTCGTAAATTATTCTTCTAAACAACTTTAGGTGGTCTCTCTTCTTTATTGATGGGTCGTTGATAAGATTATATGTATATCAGAATTAGATACTCGAAAAACAGAACTTTACGTTAGTGTTTGCTATATATATTATTAAATTAAAATTTATTTTTGACTATCCGAATATCGATATCGATTTGGTCTAAACCTCAAATAGTTACACATGTAAATTCATTTTTCCCTAAATAGTTGCACATTCATTGTCTATCCCTAAATAGTCGTACATGTAAATTTATCCGTTATTCTTATCTGAACTATACTAATTCTACGTATTGAAACAACACAAAAATAACTGAATCTTGTGATTAGAGATGTGCCATTTATATGATACCCGAATTTTTTTCACGTACAATACGTACAGTACGTGTAGTACTGTACGCGGCACATCTTTACTTGTGATTATTGAAAAGAATGTTTATTGACATGTTTAAAAATGTAAGAAAAATGACTATCCTTAGTTTGTGGCTTGAGATTATTGAGTATTTGTGACGTTGTCAATTAAAACGTGCGTTAGTAAGATCACAAAAATTGTTATACAAAATGATAAAAAATTATCTCGCACCTAATTGTAACAGGGGTGTCGCACTTTTTATTAATCATGAATATACGTACATAAGTACGTACATTAATAAAAATAACATGTTACAATTAGACATGACTTAATTATTTTTCATTTGTATAATGATTTTTTTTGATCTCACTAAGGCACGTTTTAATTGACAATTAAAATTATTTAATGAAATGTACTTACATTATTATTTAAACTCCTATCAAATTTCTGTATTATTGTATGATTAAATTACTATAAAAGAAATTTTGTGCAAAAAAAAAAAAAGTATCTCTCACTTGCAAAACTTAGTACCCGAACAACTTATATTATTATTTCAAAGTGTTATCGAGTTAAAGCTTTTTTTCATTATATATAGTTTCAATATTACTTCTCTTTTTTGCCATAGTCCTAAAGTTAAAATTTCGCTAAGTTATTTACAGCCTCATGTTTTCTCGAAATAGATTCAAAACAAGTAATTCACATTATTCTTATGGTTTAAATATACGTTCCAAGAAGACCTATTTGAGTGATTACACTTTTTCGGATAACCTTAACCATGCATCATCCAGTAACTTTAATTACGGCAATCAACAACCTGAATATGAGCTTAGTAATAATAATAGCTTAAACCATAATGGTCAACAAATCGAACTTAATAGTGCTCAGCCTGATGATGACCAACGCTCTTACCATAGAAATAATAATTACCAAGGCTATAGTAATCAACACACAATTAATGGCAGTTTGGATAATATCGATAATCAAGAGTTTGAAGATAACTTAGATAATATCAATAGTATAGAGCTTGATCGGGAATTTGAAGATGACTTGGAGAATAATGATAATATAGAGCTTGATCGGGAATTCGAAGACGACTTGGAGAGTAATGATAATATAGAGCTTGATCAGGAATTAGAAGGCGGCTTGGAGTATAATGATAATATAGAGCTTGATTGGGAAGCCGAAGACAGCTTGGAGAATAATGATAATATAGAGCTTGATTGGGAAGTCGAAGACAGCTTAAGTTCTAGTGAATTAAATGGCATAGATAATGAAAGTGAACTTAACGATAATATAAGTTGTTATAGTTCTGATGATGAGTACGAACCAATGGATAACACTTCAAAGATATTTGACGGAATGAAATCTGACATAAATTGGCATCGTGATTGCCCGTTTGGCTCTTTTAAAAATTTCACCAATATGGCTATTTTCATATGGGCTACTAAGTATATGATTTGTAAGTAATTTGATTTAGTACCTGTTTATATAAATAAAAACTAACTACACATATATATATTTTTAGCGACTGCAGCATATCATGACTTAGTACAGATTTTACTCCATCCGCAATTCGAAAAAAAACATTTGATTAATAATTTACAGCGTCTTAAGAAACAACGCGAGCAACTACCATTAATGAAAATTTACAGCCATATGATTCCAATAAACACTAAAAACACACCATCAACATCTAAAGATTCTAATCGGGTTTATTATTTTTCTCTAATTGAACATATTCAACGTATGTTAAAAAACCCGTCTATTAGTTCTCATTTATATTTTGGGCCGGGCATTTTGTCAAAATCTTGTGAAGAATTATGGGAAGGAGATCTCTGGGCCGAATCCCCTCTTTTTGGCCAATCTAATTTAATTACGATGCAAGGTATATATATATATATTATTTCATGTTATAATAGTCAAATTTTTTTAAAATAATTTTTATTTAGGCTCATTCAATTGCGGAGATTTCGTTAAATACTATTCAGTTACTAAAACTGTTGAAGTCGGCCGAATTAGATCTTTTGTTATTGTGGATAAAAAAGTGATGACCCGGATACAGCGTTTATTTTCATACGATCAAATTCCACAATATCTACATTCAAAAAAAAATATTCCATGCTCACCAAAAGAACGATATTTAGTTGAGGAATCAGAACTTTTTATTATTGATCCGTCATCATTAATTTGCTATCTTAACGTTTGGCTCCAGGACCAACCTGCCCCGCCTATAGTTGATTTTTTTGTTACTAAAATATTATATTATTATAATGGGCGGTGGAAGTTTCGACCAATAAAGCTACGTCATCAACACCCATCTGAGCGTATATCTGTCAAACCACCAGCAGATTTAAATATGCCAATTTTTAAGTTTTACTTAGATTTATATTATGACGATTTTGGCACATTCCGCAATACTTATCATTCTTTAGGTGGCGTTTACTTGCAGATTGGTAATATGCCCCGGCAATTAAGGAAACAATTACGTAATCATTTTATAATTGGATTGGTGCCATTTGGTGGAAATCTTAAAGATTTTATAAAAATTTTTATTAAAGAGGTTCATCAACTTGAGCAAGGGTTTGTAATGAATGTAAATGGTGTAGATTGTTGGATTTCAGGTGGATTAGCTATGGTTACAGCAGATTTGCCTCAGGGGAATGACATTGCGGGTGTATTACGTCATAATGCTAATCTTGGATGTCGTAGTTGTAAAGCTTCCAAAAATGAATTAACAAACATTTCATTTGATATTTATTCTAATGGCCGGTATCACCAAATAACCAATCAAGAATTTGAAATTATAAATGCACAACAAACAAAATCAGCACGATTACAAACCTGTTCACAATATGGATTGCGACCATCACCAGGCCCCTAGACACCATTCTTCATGATCGTCATCAATATATACCGCAGGATGCATACCATGTTATTGCAGGCAAAGCAGCACGACTTCTCGATTGTACTTGCCTTATCTTAACAACACAAGGAGAAAGTAACTTGATTAAATATTGGAAATATTTTGAGGTTCCAGTCAGATGGGCACGTTTACCAAATTTAATTTCACACAGGCGTTCATTTATGATGTCTGATATTTTACGCATTCTAATGATATTTCCTTTTATACTAAAACGCTTTTTATCAATTAAAGACATTAAGTCTAATTTTATAAATAAAACAATGGTTCGATTAAAACTTCCTCAGCAAAATGATGTTATAAATCATTTGATTCGAGTTTGGGGACTTTCGGCAAAAGTTAGCAAACACGTTTTTTCATTATCTATTAATAGGTTAGATGGGTATTCTAAACTTCAAAAAATGTTGAATAAAGAACTTAATGCATTAATAGAGGTAACTTTATTTATTCGTTTATTGATTTATTTATTCATTCATTATTTTATTTATTTGTTAATTTATTTATTTAATTCTAATTATAATAACAATACAATTTGTTTTAAGTTATTTCCCGATAGCTTTCAGAATCTCCCGAATCTTCATGTAAATCGGCACCTGGTAGACCATGCACGTCAGTATGCAACATGTATTAACACAGCAGTTGGAATAAAAGAAATGATACATAGAATTTTTAAGTCAATTGTACCACATACGAACAAACACAATCTTGAACTTACACTACTACGGCAAGTTAATACATTACAAACACTGAGATATTTAGCGGATGGGGGAATAGATGACCGTATAAGCAACATGTCACAACAATTAACATTTAAAGAATTAATTGTCGAACCACAATTACGTCACTTACTGTCTGGTTGGTGTATTGATGATAATTTTTCAATGCACTTATCAAAAGAATATGAACAAGGTACAGTAATATAATATACTATTTTCCATTTACATATAAGAGCGAAATAACGCCCTAGGCGTTATTTCGCGCTTGTATGGTATATCTATTTCTAACCAATTTCTTAAATTTAATTAGATAATTTCACTGATACTCATAGCTTTTCACACTTCAATTGCTCCGAAATAAAATTTGGTGTAAGATGGGATAAGTATAAAATAGAAAATGCTGGATTTATTTCCACTGACCTCGAAAATAATGGACTTTTAGAAAGTATTATGCATGCATATTCTTCTTACTTTTCTATGGAACAATCATTATTAAAGACAAAATTTCGATATTATCAGAGCGTTTCATATTCTGTAATTGATTCTAATGGTGACTATCAATACGTAAAATTTCGTGTCGGTGAGGTTGTTGAAACTACTCTGTTTGATGTTGGGCAGGCTGCATTTGGAATGGCTAAAGGGATAATTGAACATATATGGAATGATGATCAAGCTTACGTGTTTGTTTACTTAGAATGGATGAAATACCTCAGAAAACTTGACGACTTATTAGGCTGTTCTCTTTATCAACTCCAAAGTACTTGTAATAATTCCTGGAATCGAATTCATCCAATTTCCATCGTATCAAGGTCACCGGATGTCCTATTCATTCATAATTGTCAATCAAGATGTTCTCCACAGCGGCATGACTTTATGAATCGTGAATATATTCGAAATGAGTTTTTTTTTACAGCTATCTAAAGAATTCTAGAATTTGTATTAAAATGGAAACTATGTATATATTTTACACAAAACAATAGAATTATCACCTGCTATTTTACACAACTTGAACACTGCAATATTATATTTCACACGAAAAGAATTTTTAACCAAGGCAATTTTAAGCGAAATTATTGATTTTAGCAATTTTCTCTATAACATGTCAATATGGCATCTGTAATTATTATCGAAAAGGTAATATATGACAAGTCACTATATCTAACCTTGAATTTAATAAGTTAAAAGGTTTTACGCTAGATATACGAAGCGATGTACGTTGAAGATATACTGGTCGATATATAATAACTCACTACTCAAAAATACCACTACTAATTACGATAATCTATCCAAAACACTATAACTACTATAACCAATCCCTAGTATTGGTAAGGCAACGATCGAGGCGTGGAGAGACTTGGTCCGAGTAACCAAGGTTATTTGATTAAGCAGGAATAGTGTGGGGCTCAGATAAGTATTCTCCTATCTCTTTATTCAGTACCTTACTTCCTTTGACACTTTGTAGTAATTAAACTTTCTTTTCTTCGAAGGTGCTACGGCGAGTCACGTGATCGAATTTAGCCAATCGGGATATGGTCAAGGTCACGGTATCACAAGTTCACGATTCAGGTATTATGTCATTGATCACAAACTTAATCAGGGTGGATTTTAATATATAAGGGTTGGATTACTAATACAATGTGTACGAAAGTCACAGGGACAAGAAAAATACGAAATCGACGAACGATTTGTAACCGAAAGGGTACAACGGTTTTTACACAAACACTTCTACTCTAATTTCGAAGGTTATGGAACTCAAGGGTTATTTTTATTCTTAGGATATGTTTTTTTGAACTCACTTCGTTCCCTTTATTTTCAGGTAAATAAGCATCCCTTTTATAGTTTTTACATTGCTACTTTTTCCAATATAAATTATCTAACTAAGCTATAATTCTATGGAAGATTCGAAAAGCGCGAAATCCACGAAAAGCACGAACTTCACAAAATTCACGAAATTCATGAAATTCACGAAATTCACGAAATTCACGAAATTGGATTTTTACTATTATAGTAAGGATTATCTTTCTTACCAATTTTGGATTTCTACGACTATTATTATACTAACGGCTAATATAATTTATACTGAGTCTTACTACAAAGGTGCTGACAAAGAAACGAATAATAATGATAAACTAAAAGCAAAAGAAAATAAAATAAAATAACATAAATAAATAAATAAAAAGAAAAGAAAGAAAAACGATTCGGGCGACAACCCTGGCCTTTCACAACGTACATACCGGTAGGTACAGTACATACGTATCACAAACTAAATTAGGTTAGTACTGTACATATGACTAATCGAGTGTGAACAGAACTCTTTTTTTTTAGGTATGAATCTACGCCGTTCCAAATTCCCATATTTAAATGTACTTACGGGCTCACGTAAGAAATTATCATTTTCAGTTTGCAGATTTGATATTTTCATATGTATTTGTTTTTTAATTCATAATTTTAATAAACAGCTCATTGGAGGTTACAAGAAACAGCGTTGATTGAGAGTTTAGAAAATACGTGTTAGACCAATATATCCAATATACCCACTGAAAGCCATTCAAATTAATCTTGGAATTCAAATATAAAGCGAAAGTATTGATCCTAAATTTATTTATCTTAAATATTTGACATGCTGTATTATATTAATTTAGAAATAAGATAACGTATGTTCTTATCACAATTATTAATGTGTTAGGCGAAAGTTCTCAAAGATCACAATCAGGTATTCGATCAAATCCTATAGATTGATGTATTATACTAAACTATCGAACAATTAGTTTAACATTGAATGCATAATTATATTACTTACTCTATATGCAAAATTTATCGAAGGTCACAATCAGAAATTTTAATCAAAGTAATCTGACAGTCTGCAATACTTTTAAATATAATGGTCTTGATGAAAGAGTATACTGTTCTTAATCAACTACTATAAATTAATGTATTATGCTGAAATAACTCTTGAACAACCGGTTTAACATGGCGAGTGTGGCTCTATTAAAATAAGCATGTATTTATCCAATAATGGTAGGTTAATTTTATTTAAAAAACAATGTGGTGTTTTAAAGTTTATATAGTACAACTATTATTAATTTATTATAAACATTACAGGTATTTAGCATTGGTACTAAAAGGTATAAATCGTTAAGATTACTATTTTTTTTTTCTTTCCTTTTATTAATTTTAATTTTTTAATTTTTATTTATTTTTTTTTTAAATAGCAAGAATCTGAAGCTGTAAAAGTTTATGCTGAATTTGTAGCTTCATTTGAAAAAGACGGAAGAGTTGGAAGAACCCTTGTTAAATGTGAGATTATTGTACCTAAGTGTGAGTTCATTTTCCTAGAACAATTTACTACTTGCTATGTAATGTCTTATGCTTCGACTACTCCACCAAAATTATATAAGCCACAAGCCTTCGTTCCTGCATCAGCAACTAATAAACAAGAATCGAACAACGAACTGATACAGGAGGGAGCACAGAAAAAAATGAGGTTAATTGATGCAATAAAGTACCACTTTATTTGTTTTCTAATTGATTAATTATAGGACGAAAACAAACGATATGAAAAGCTAAAAGAAAAGTGCAATTTAGATTCGCTCTTGGAAATAATCAAACGGTTAGTAAGCAAGAAATTATAATTGTCAATTTACTATTAATTTGAATTAAAGTTATATTTATTACGGTAAATAGTGAAGAAGAAATAGAAGATCGACAGAGGCAAATCATGCAAAATTGGCCGGTGCTGGTGTTTTCATTAAGTGTGTTTACTGATCATGTTTAGACAATAACACGTTCTTAAGTTTCTTTCCCTTGGCGCTCAAGTTTGTATAACGTTTTAGAAACTATTGGTAGCAATCATTTATCTACAACATTACCCTTACGTGATAATATTTCTAATGCTACTAATTACGCACCAGAAATTGAATCAAATAAAGCATTAGAATTAAGAAAAAGTGGTGAAACTTATCGTATTATGGGCAAATATAAAGAGTCACTTGTAGACTTGACTAAATCATTAGATATTGAACCAAATAATGCGTTTGCGCTGAAAAATCGTGGAGTTACTTATTATAAAATGTCAAAACTTAAAGAATCACTTGCTGATTTAAATAAATCGTTGGAAATTGAACCGGATGATGCATTTGCATTACGCGGTCGAGGAGATACCTATCGTAGGATGAATTGATATGAAGAATCACTTGCTGATTTAAATAAATTATTAGACATAGAACCAGAAAATGCATTTGCATTAAGCAGTCGAGGAGCTGCCTATCATATAATGAAAAGATATGGAGAATCACTTGCAGATTTAAATAAATCATTGGAAATTGAACCAAATGATGCATTTGCGTTAAGAGTCCGAGGAACAACTTATCGTGTGATGGATAGATATGAAGAATCACTTGCAGACTTAAATAAATCATTGGAAATTGAACCAAATCACGCATTTGCGTTAAGAGTCCGAGGAGAAACATATTGTGGGATGAATAGATATAAAGAATCGCTTGCAGATTTAAATAAATCATTAGAAATTGAACCAAATAATGCAGAAGCATTAAGAAAACGAGGTGAAACTTATCGTTTAATGGGCAAATACAAAGAATCACTTGCAGACTTTAATAAATCATTGGAAATTAATCCGAAAAATGAATGGACATTAAACAAACGTAAAATAATCTACCGTTTATTAAGTGAATAAAACTTATAATAAAGTTAGAATTGGGAATCATTTTATTATTATAAATTAAAATTTTCGAATATTCAAATCTCGATAAATTGTGCCATGGAAATTTTGGGGATTACAAAGGAAAATTAAAAGGTGATTACCCAGGTGCTCATTAAAAGAAGTTTTATAATTGTTTTGGTTTAATAAGATTTTGTTACCCATCATGATGATAAATACAAGATAAAATTTTTGCATTTTATAAATTTGATGATTTGAATAAATTATAATGATAATTGCACCAGACGAGCAAGAGAGTTGAAAAGGCAAAATTCTGGATTCCATTTATTGTTTGAGCAATGATCATCATCTAACAATCACAATCGTATACGTACGTATTAATAACAAACTAGAATATGATCATGCGGGCGGCTTCGTCGCCTATAATATGCTAAAGATAATAGATTTGTTTTACTTTTATTTCAAAAAGATTTTTCTTAAGCTTTTTCCACTATTAGATGTTCCGCCCTGAATTTAATGCACCAATTTGGGCCCCTCCGGGCTAAAACTGGTGAATTAGATGTAATTATTTCC